TTCCGGTCTTCCAATTTTTTATAGCCTTAAAAAGAAAGAGCAGGTTAGCAAGGAGGAGCAAGTGTCACAGCAAGGGTTAAACAATACCAGTTAGGCTTGCGGCCCAGCCACTCTTCTCTGCCGTCTCCTCCGGCTCTCCAAATGCACAAAGGCCGGCCAGCCTGCCGGCACCAAGCACCCATGACCATATCAGCGGTAAGGTCCAGATACCCTGCTTAGTTATCTACTACATGTACTTTTGCTGGTCGCTCTGGTTAGTCTGCTGCCCCTGCTGCTTTTGGCTGAATGAGTGAATGTTACTGACTGCGTTTCTAGTCTCAGATTCCTGTTTCTTTTGTTACAAAATTGCCTTTATGTGCTGTCAAATATATGCTTCAATTTGTTACTGGGTATGTGAAAAATTTATTAGGATCGATTTCTGCTACTGCTAACAAACAGCCTGACTGACTGCTGATTTTGCTTGGAGACACAAACTGATTTATTAGGATCGATGGTTTTTGTGAAGTTAATGTAGTAAGCTGACAACTACCATTTCTAAACTTCTGTTGCACAACACTGTGATGATCTTACATTATATTTTTCTGATATGGTGCAAAGAAAATGAAGCTGCTTCTGTTATTAAAGGCGATGCATGAACTGATTCACATTGCTGCTAGTGTCATGATTGTGATGATGCACTATTGTTGGGAACCTAGAAGCTGCTTCCTGGTTGTACTACTGTGTTTGGCTTGTGTAATTATTCTGAATTTCTGATGATGCAGTCTGTAGTTGGGTAACCTGTTTTTGGAAGGAAACTGTGCCCTGAATGAATGAATGAATGATACAGATGCATACTAGTTTGTGATTCTTTTGTTTTTGTGGGACAAATTGCTTCTGCTGTATGTGAAATATTCCTGCTGCTGTTACTGCCTACTGCTACCCTGTCCCTGATGCTTTCTGGACTGTGATTTTTAATTTATGTTTTGGACAGAGTTCTTCATTCTTATTTCAGAATCAGATTTTGGATAGACCGCTTGTGCTGTCGAATATACACAATAAATATTTTTTGAGGGAAAGCCATCATGGCTACCTTTATTGAATTAAAACCCGGATACATCATTTATGAGCCTACCGACAACAATGTCAGGGGGCTCGTTTAACCAACTAAAAGAAGACTTATTACAATAGCTATGGTTTGCTAACACGTGAGCCACTTGATTACAAGAGCGAAGACAATGCTTGAAAGTGACAGAAACAGGGTCGATTTTCTGCTGCTGCTACTGCCTACTGCCCCCAATTTTCTTTTTCTGAACACATGGATAATATATACTGCAAAACATTTGTCAGGCTCGAGCCAAGGCTCCTCTTTTCCTCTGCTCTTCTATATGCTTACAGGCAAACAGGAGGGGCGCATCTCTACCGCTGCATCTCTTATCATCTATGCTCTCGAGGCCGTGTGTCTTTGAGCAGGAAATACCAATCCTAAAGACAGAAACCAACCACTCATGGATTCTATCATTATATATGTATCTAGGAGGGAGCCTTGATGATGGCTGTAGGTTGTACGACATTTGTTGACAAGGATATGCTGTGGCCAAGCCAGCGACTGTAACCAGTCCAGACACACTTCCCTCGGTGATATGATATCTCTCCAATTTAATTTCTGACTCTTGTGAGGTTGACACCGGGTCAAGTCCTACTCTCCTATCAAACTGTGTCGAAGTTTTCAGACTTCACTTTCTTGTAACTGTTCATAGGCCAAGACGTGTTCTTGGATTAGTATGGTACCACATTTATTTGATACAGTTGTAAAACAACATAGCTCTGAGAACAATTACTAACTGGAGCAATACATAATCTTCTTACTACATAATGTTTTCCTATTGCAGGATCATATCTTGTACTAGCTTGTTTATTCAACGTTGCTCTGAATTTCTCGAGTCGAGGCTTCTCTTTCTGCTCCATGCTCCCCCATAAACTTGAGGTACGCATCTCTGATTGCGTGTATCTCTGCCGCTGCATCTCTCGTCAGTGCTTGGTCTCGAGGCTGTGCCTTGGAGCAGGATATGCCAAGCCTGAAAACTGAAACCAATAACTCCATGATTCTAATACTTGTATTGTTATCCCATTTTCCGCTGTGCAGCCACATTGTTGGGTCAGCTATCTCCAGGGTCCTATCTTGAAGTGCATCCTCAACAAACTTATGAAGATCCAATGAATCTCTGAACATGCCTTCTGTTGGGCTCCTTCCAGTAAACATCTCAAGCAGCATTTGCCAAGGCTATAAATATCACCAGCTGTAGAGACTGCAGAGCCTTCTCCATACTCTGCAATTATGCAAAGTCTTGTGGTTAGCATGCCTTGATTGACCAAGGTTAAACTTCCACTTCAAAACTCCTCGAATACCTTGATTGAACAACAAGTAATGATCTTAATGAGATAACGCTTGAACGATTACTAATTGAAATGATACATAATTTTATTATTATGTAGGATCATGTCTTGTACCAGCTTGTTTATTCAATGATGTTCTGAATCTTGAGTTGAGGCTTCTCTTTCTGCTCAATGCTCCCCTGTAAATTTCAGGTACGCATCTCTGATTGTGTGCATCTCCGTTGCTGCATCTCTCGTCAGTGCTCGGGCTCGAGGTTGTTGCTTTTAGCAGGATATGCCAAGCCTGAAGACCGAGACCAAGCACTCCTGGATTCTAATACTTGCAGTGTTATCATGTTGTCCGCCGTGCAGCCACATTGTTGGGTCAGCTATCTCAAAGGTTCTATCTGGAAGTGCCTCCTCGACAAATTTATGCAAATCCAATGAATCTCTGAACGTGCATCCTCGACATCATCTGGAAGTGCATTCTCTGGTGGGCTCCTTCCGGTAAACATCTCAAGCAGCAATATGCCAAGACTATAAATATCACCAGCTGTTGAGACTGCAGAGCTATCTCCATACTCTGTATTACGCAAAGGTTTGTGGTTAACATGTCATATTTGATTGAAAAGGTAAAATATGAAGTTAGAAGAATTTTAGTCACCTGGAGCAATATAGCCTATCCAACCTTTAATTCCAGTTGAGCCATATGAAGTTTGCATCCCCTTGCTTGTATTTTCTTGACGGATCCTTGATATGGCAAAGTCTCCAACTCGTGCGTTCATGTCTTCAGCAAGAAGAATCTTGCTTGGCTTAAGATCACAATGAATCACCAATGGTTGGCAGTAGTTGTGCAAATATTCTACTCCATCCACAATGCGTCCAATGGCCATGGCGTCCTCTCTCCTCCTTGGCCCCCACCCTAAAACCAAGGCGGAAACCCCTCTTCCCTCCTGCCTGTGGCCTTGCCCCTCTCCTCCACCAAGGCGGCTCCCTCTCTCCAGATCCACCAAGGACGGCCAGCATCCTCTAGGGCAGGTATGGCTGTGTGGCCCAGAGAAATCAAAATTTGATGTGAATCGATGCTAGATGGTTGGTCTGTAGTTGGTAATCTGGGTTTAATTTTGGGACAAAATGCTTCTTCTCTCAAATATACACATTACCTGCTGCCTGCTTCCTACTGCCAAGTTAACATCCTGCTGATGCTCTGCTGCTTTTGGAGGTGAACTGTTCCCTGATTGATTGAATGAATGACACCAATATGCATCTGGTACAACTCCTCTGCTCTTCGTTGTGCTGTAGAATAGTTTGTCTCGCGGCAAATTGCTTGTGCTGTAAAATGAACTACTTTCTCAATGTTGCCAGCCTACTTCACTGAGGATGCGATTTTCCTGAATCTTTTAAATTACTTACAAGCCATGTAGCAAATATACTGACAACTGCTATTGCACAACACTAGGATTTTACCTTTTTACATTACACTACATTTATTTGATACTTGTTCCAAAGAAAATAGCTGCATTAAAAATAAAGCTTACTGGAAAGATTGATTGTTGATAACGTCCTCCTAGCTAGTAAAGGTCCTCTGGACCTGCTGCTACAGTGCTATTGCACAACATTGGGATGGTTTTACTTTAAATTTGTTTTTCTCATATGCTCTCCAGATTCACATCCTCCTAGGTACATATCTAGTTCCTGTATTTCTTTTTACTAATAAGGGAATTAATAGAAGGTGGATGGTTAGTCTCTGGTTATAAGGATTACCTTGCTGCTGCTTCTGCAAGCTGTTCTCTGAATGGATGGTACTGATGCTTTCGAGTCCGTGATTCTGATTAATCTTTGGACACATTAATTTATTTTTCTGAGAATCAGATTTGGGCAGGCTGCTTGTGCTCTAAATTCTAGTATCTGTTTCTGCACATGGAAAGCATATACGCTGTTAACAAGCAGCCTGACTTTACTACCTCAAGACAGGATATGCTTTCTAACCTGTGATTTCTGTTTATTTTATTGACAGATAACTTTTTCTCCTATTGAGAATCAGATTTTAGACAGATTGCCTGTGCTCTCAATGCGCATTAGTTTGTACCCCAAGTTTGTTTCTGCACATGGACGGTATGTACTCTTTAACAAAAAGTCTGATTGTACTACCTAAAGACAGGATATACCAATTCTGAAGACAGAAACCAAGCGCTCTAGGTTGTACTACCTTATTACTACTTATTAATTAATGAAGGAAGAAAGCTTGTTCACAAAGGAAAATCTGTTTGTGATTATTATAGTGTTATTAATCTGATCCGATGCACTTTGTTTTCGATATAAAAAATAAAATCGGATTGTTTTGCTTACAAAAGCGAGGAATAATAAAAATAAGAAAAAAAATGAAACTCTCTGCAACTTCAGGTCTACTGAAGCATGAAGCAATAATGTTGCCTCCATGTGTACAGTTTCGATAATGGGAAAACAATTACACTGCCTGATTTATGAATCAACCTACAACCTGCTGTTGTGCTATTATTGCACAACACCATGGTTTTGTATTTATTTCATACAGTTGTAAAGCAACATACATAGCTCTGAGAAGAATTACTAACTGAAATGACACATTATTTTTTTAGTATGCAGGATCAAATCTTGTGCCAGCTTGTTTATGCAACGCTGCTCTGAATTTCTTGAGTCGAGGCTTCTCGTTCTGCTCCATGCTCCCCTATGAACTTGAGGTATGCATCTCTAATTGCGTGCATCTCCGTTGTTGCATCTCTTGTCAGTGCTCGGTCACGAGGATGTTGCTTTGAGCAGGATATGCCAAGGCTCAAGACTGAAACCAATAATTCCTGAATTCTAATGCTTGTAGTGTTATTGTGTTGTCCGCTGTGCAACCACATTGTCGGGTCAGCTATCTCCAAGGTTCTATCTGGAAGAGCATCCTCGACAAACTTATGCAGACCCAATGAATCTCCGAACGTGCCTTCTGTTGGGCTTCTTCCCGTAAACATCTCAAGCAGTAGTATGCCAAGACTATAAATATCACCAGCGGTTGAGACAGCAGAGCCTTCCCCATACTCTGCAATTATGCACAGTTTTGTGCTTAGCATGACATATTCGAGCAAAAAGTAAAAAAAATAAAATTAGAAGAATTTTAGTCACCTGGAGCAACATAGCCTATGGAACCTCTAAGTCCAGTTGAGCCATATGAAGTCTGCATCCCTTCGCTTGTATTTTCTTGAAGGATCCTTGATATGCCAAAGTCTCCAACTCGGGCGCTCAGGTCTTCAGCAAGAAGAATGTTGCTTGGCTTAAGATCACAGTGGATTACCAATGGCTGACAGTAGTTGTGCAAATATTCTACTGCGTCCACAATATCAACAGCAATATCAAGCCTCTGGGCAAGGCTGAAAGTGTTGTTTGTAGTGGCTTCTTGAGATTTTGGATGAAGCCAGCCATCCAAGTTACCGTTGGGCATGAACTCAAAAACCAATGCCTTAAACTCTTGACCTTGGTGGTTAACGCTCGAACAAGAAGTAATGATCTTAATGAGACAACGGTGTCGTATCCTTCTCATAGTCTCACACTCAGCCTCAAAACTCTTGGAATATCTTGATTGACCCAGATTGAACACCTTGACAGCCAATGTTCTTTCTTCAGTGTCCAAAACACACTTATAAACTGCACCATAACTTCCTCTCCCAAGCAAGTTGGCTTCTGAAAACTCGTTAGTTCCTCTCAATAATGCATGATACGGGATTCTCTTGTAATGGTCATCAACAATTGAATGTTGTGCTAATGTCTTTTGTCTTGGTTTGAGCTTCTTGCAAAGTATCCAAACAAGAAAAATAACCAAAAGTGAGAACAAGATTGCTCCAGCTGTCGCTAGTGAAATTACAATAGACTTTGGCATCTTTCTTTTGTTCTTGCTTAAGTGCCTTGTGGAGCATGGAGCCAAATGAAGTTGAGGTGTACCGCCACACAAATTTACATTCCCAACAACTGCTAAGTAAGTGATGTTTCTGAAAACACCTTCATTTGGCACCTCACCTTGCAAATTGTTGAAGGATACATCCAATTCAAACAAGGATGTCAAATTCTGTAGAACTAGTGGGATTGGCCCTGACAAGTGGTTATGTGCTAGGTATAGTTCCTGCAGGTTTCCAATATTGCCCATGGCATCAGGAATATTACCAGATAACTTATTCATGGTCAGATTCAATACTCTGAGCCCCTTTATGTTTGCTAGCAACCGAGGTATGCTTCCTTCAAATGAATTGTTGTCTAATGATAGCCTTTCCAACACTATGCAATTCTTAATACTATCGGGTATCTTGCCAGACAACTGGTTTCCTGATAGAGCCAGGTGGTTAAGATTTGCCAAACTACCAACTTCATTAGGAAGGGGTCCAGAAAGGGAATTGTATGACAGGTCCAAATACCAAGAAAGGCTAGGTAATTTGAAAATCTCTATGGGTATTGAACCATTGAGTCTGTAGTTAGCTGACAAATCAAGTAAGAATAGGTTTTTCAACTTCCCCAGGCTTGCTGGAATGGTCCCCTCCAAGTTTCCATGGTCTGCGACAAGCCTAGTCAACTGCGAAAGGTTCCCTAGAGATGATGGTATGAGGCCAGACAAGCTATTATTGTACACGGATAGCTCGATCAAGTTCTCTAGCTTACCGATGCTCTCTGGAATCACTCCGTAAATGGAAGTATTTGCTATTCCAAGTATTTCCAGACCAATCAGATTTCCAATATCTGCAGGGATACTTCCATAGATCCTATTATCCATTAAGTATAACCCTGTGAGAGTCGTTGAGAGGTTCACAATTGAACCTGGCAGTTGTCCTCCAAAATTATTGTTTGCGAGTACCAATACCTGCAGTTGGCTGCAGTTTGCCAAAGAAGTGATGAATTCCCACCCCTTGTTGTCATTTGCTTTGAGCTCATTTTCACCCAAGTGCAGTCTCTGGAGAGCTATGAGCCTCCCCAAAGTGGAAGGCACATAACCACTAAATCTATTTCGCCCAATATTAAGATTCGTGAGACTAGACATATTGGACAGTGATGAAGGGAGGGCTCCACTGAAGTGATTACGAATTAAGCCGAGATATTCCAACTTAGGGAACTTGTCGCCAATATCATCCGGAATGCTTCCGTACAACATATTAAACCCTACTGAAAATACTTCCACCGATGACCAGTTGTAGAGAGAAGGTGGGAGCATACCAGAGAGGTTATTTCCGACAAGGCTGAAGAACTGCATGCGCTGGAATCTTCCGAGCTCTGGTGGGATTGAGCCCACAAGCTGATTAGTGGTGAGATCGAGGTATTGTAGATGGGACAGGTTGGCCAGAGATGTCGGGATGAACCCTGTGAAGTGGTTGTCTCTCAGTGAGATCACTGCCAGGGACGTGAGCTTCTTGCCGAGGTCAGCCGGGATGTGCCCGCCAAGCTTGTTGTTGGGCAGTGCCATTATGGTCATGCTGATGCAGGAGGTCAGGTTCATAGGGAATGTACCGGAGAAGGAGTTGTGGCCCAAATCGAGCCTCTGCAAGCGGCGAAGGCGGTCGATGCTCGCCGGAATCTCCCCGTGTAGCGAGTTGAAGCTCAGATTGAGCGTTCGCAGGAATGTGAGGTTTCCGATGGCCGGGGAGAGCACTCCAGCGAGCGTCTTGCTGTCCAATCTCAGCTCCACCACTCTCTCAGGTCTCCGATGGCTGCAAGTCACGCCTTCCCAGTTGCAGAAGCCAACGCTGCTGTTCCACGAGGCCAGCGAGTCACCATCGCTAACCTGCGCTTTGAAAGCAAGCAACGCGGCCTCGTCGCTAGCGGTCACCATGGTGGTAGTCAGGACGGCTAGAAATGAGCATAGCAAACTCATGACCCCCATTGCTATTGCCATGCCCATCGTGTTTTGGTTGGCAAGTACTGGCAGTAGCCTACTCTCCACTCCGTATATATGCTTTCAGTCTCGCGTGATTTCCTTGTGTGCCTGTTGCAAGTGTTGTGCTAATATTATTCCAAGAACGTCTAAATCATTATTTATGTCTTTCGCTTTCATTCCCCCAAAATAGTTTAGAACTTTGTCCCCTTTTGACAACTTGGCAATGACAATACCTCAAGTGGTTCAGCCAGACTTTTTCAAAGGTGCGGACCATCCCTCGACAATGATTGCTAAGTAGGAGGATGCTGATCAGTATGGTTCTAGTTGGCAATTGTAATCCTGTTAGCTGTTGTGCTTACAATGAAGTGATAAGTGATGCTATATCTGTGGTTCTGTACTGTGCGTTTACGTGTGTTCAGAGGGATGTTGGCTGAACCTGTAGACATGTAGCATGTGGCTCTATATGAATGGTATGTGTACTGCACCCAACAACACAAGTGATGCTACTGCTGTACGTGCGCTCCTTTTACTGCAGTTGAGTGCAAGGAAATTTGATTGGTCATTTCAGACTGCCGTTGTAGATTCCTTTTCCCACTTTGTCTAGAATTACAATTCAGTGCAGATTCATATATACACTTAAACCTTCCTGTGATTAGGATCCCGAGAGCAAGCGACTCTAGGAACAAATAAAATTCTCCTAGCCTATCCAAGTGCCGTTTATAATAATTAAGGCACATTGTGAGAGTCCCTTAAGATTTTTGTTATATGTAATGTCTCAAAAGTCACCGTACTCGATCGAGCTGTTCAATTACCATTCACGCATACTTCCGCTGTCCCATAATACAAGATAAGATGTTATTACAATCAATATGTGAATATATTGGATGTAATAACACCTTATATTATGGGACAGAGGGAGTATGTACATACATGCACCTGCATACACTAGCTATTTGTTTGACCTCACGATTGCATCATCTTTGAAGCGACAGGTAGGTCGTTGATATATGCACAACTTGTCATAGGCATTGAGTGTGTTTCTTTTTATTGACTAGTTTATAGCTGCTGCGTTATTATTGATGCAAGCTGCCATGATAGCAAATGTATATGCACAACTTGTCATGAGCATCTTTGTCTATATTGAGTATTTTTATAGCTGCATCATTATTATTAATGCGATGCCAGCTAGCGATTTTGCTTGGCCATGAGACATTTGCTTCTCAACTTTTTAAGGTATCATTTCCTTAGCAAATAAAGTTTTTTTTTTAAAAAAATTGGGCGCTGCCCTGGCACAACTTGTTATTTGGCATTTCTTTTTATTGAGTACTCCATCGTTTCTAAATATAAGCCTTTTTAGAGATTCCAATATGGACTATATACGGAGCAAAATAAGTGAATCTACACTCTAAAACACTTCTATATACATCGGTATGCAGTCTGTATCGAAATCTCTAAAAAGACTTGTATTTAGAGACGGAGGGAGTAGTTTTATAGCTGTTGCATTATTGTTGATGCAACTCAAGTAATTGAGTACGTCATGCCACCAAGTTGCAGTTGGTCCTAGTCAATCCAATCAAGATAGGTCCCATCTGTTCAAAGGCTGTTGAATGGAAATATTCTCTGCCCAGTTCACCTCTTGGTTGTTGACCAGAAACACTGGCATGTTGTTGCTGCTTCTCAATATGTTAAAGAAAATTATGTTTCCGTTCTGCATGTATAGTCTCCAATAAGAACTTTTGACCATTAAGTTTACATAGCTAACCAATTATGTAAACTTTGTATTATGAATCCATTTTTTTCATGGCAAATCTAAGGGTACAAATTCACATAGCGTTTTATTAATTAGTACGTGGTAGGAATTCGAACAGTGTTTTATTAGTTAGTGGTCGAAGATAGATGTTTCTGTGACTACAACCATAGATTAAAGCAGCTAGCCTTGTATTAGGAATGCAATGTCCTGGAAGATGATACCAGTGTAGAGACATGGTTTTGGTTCTTTTTCTTTGGCAAGTCGTAATGTGCCTATGATTAGTTATCTGAACTAGAGACCGGGCCAAGTGGCTGCTACTCTTCTTATAGTCTAATTTTCTTAGATCAGATATCTACTACCAATGGTTATTGATATTTTGTATTGTGCGACTCAACCTCTATATTATCGCATCAAGTTCAAGAGAAACCAACAAGAACTACAGATTTGGTCGACAATATCACTTTCAGTCACAGGTCACTAGATGGACAAGTGGTCAACTAGTGGCACTTCGAGACTGAGTCCGTTAATTGCCACCAGCAATACCAATAGCAGTTGTTGGATGCTTAATTTGGTGTGACAAAATTTTCCATGTTTTACTAGACAAGTTGTGCTCAAACTATTACGTAGGCAATAATGCAACCACATGCCTAGTTTCATCTTTTGTAGTCAAAGAAAAACTGTTGTTTTCCACATGAGGTAGGTTGTCTGACTGGTGGAGATCTTTTTTCTCGGAGAGAACCAAAGTGCCGATGGGAGTGACTCATGGAGGTGAGGTCATGTGATGGACGTCGAATTCGACCATTACCGGAGCAATCCGAGAACAAACTAGGAAAGAAAGCAACATGTCTGTTTGTATCATAAATGGAATTCATTTGATTGACAAGTGTTGTTCTGAAGTCTGAATCTCTGAATTACCATGAATGATGGATGGATGGGTGCATGCAGGGAGTTCTGACTGAGAGGACGACGGAGCTGGCTGCCTCGCTATCGGTGGCGGCTGCCCAGTGGATCGTCGAGGCTGACCAGTTCATGAGGGCTGGCCTCTACAACGGATGGCTCCCGCACCTGTGAGTTCTAGGCTGATGTACTACAACTTAGCTTTCGTTTGTCAGCAGCATATACATTTACTAGATCTAGAGGGTGCCAGTCCCAACGTCTTGATCAAACAAGTAATGCTAAGTCAGTAGTAATTCAGATTTTGGCGCCATATGCTTATTTTGTTGCTGACGGGTGATGCCTCGCTAAACACATTACCCGGACATGTAAACAGAGTACAAATTTTTGCAAGATCAAACATAAAATTGTCTTTATAGATAGCATAAATGTTGCCAACACATCTTGGCGCATTGTCTGATCTATTGCACAGGTGCGGCACGCCTAATCCTAAATAATGACATAAGGACAGATCCAAATAGATTGCTATTTGATCGGAAAGCATAAAGACATAAGCAAAGAATAGTAATCGCTCATGCCAATAGGTTGACAACTATACATTCATTACAGAGGATAGATGCTTAACATACCAGAGTAACTACCCTTTGATAGATTTCAATTCGTTCACAAAGGCATAAAGACCCAATTCATACCATACAATGGTTGCCCGCGACAATAAGTTCACTACAATATACCAAAAGCAAAAGATACATCATAATAACAAAAGTGCATCGAAAGGTGTAGCGGCTGCCGATGCGTCTGAAGCTCGTAGGAAGCACAAAATTTCTCAGGCAGAGTATATGTCCCGACAAGAAGAGAAAAGGAGGTGGAGCACCCGAAAATCCCGGTATCGCGAACCGTCAACTGGTCAGAGCAAGTATAATAGGTTCTAGTCAGCTGGCTGCAAGCTATTCCACGTCATTGAAACCTTAGCTGGAGGGAAGAGAAGGGAAGAGAGAGAAGGGAATGGGCGCTTCGCATACAGCCCGGCCGCAGCGCAAGGAACAAGAAGTAACAACGCTTCTGCCGTTTCAGCATGGTTAATAAGAGAGGCAACAGCCGGCTCTATAGCTATGTCCATGTCATCTATAGTCTTCATACAACCAAGACCATATTGTTTTGAATCAAAAATGATCGAATCAATCGATCGATGGTTACAGGCCCCCTTTTATATGTCCCGAGGAGACACGACGATCCCTCGAGGAGGCGTCGGTTCCAGGAGATCGAAGGGAGGCGTCGGTTGCGGGACAAACCGCAACGACGGTTTGGGCAAGGGGAGATTTTCCCCTAATTACAGAATTATTTTAACACTCCCCCTAATCTACGCTTGACCATGTAGATCATCTTCACGATTGTCCGGGAAGCTCTATCATCTCAAAAGATTCTCCTTCAAAAGTTCTTCATAAAATCTTTGATGAGATCCTGAAACATATACTCACAAAGAAAGATAGCATAATGTGATGTCATTAAAATGAGGATATATCAAGAAGAGACTCCCCCTGACACCTGCAAGTCCCTAAGTCTTCGCATACCAATTCCATGAACACATTTCTGGAATGTAGAATTTGGTAGAGACTTGGTAAATAAATCAGCAAGGTTGTCACATGATTTGACTTGCAGAATGCTTATTTCCCCGCTTTTCTAAAGATTATGGGGGAAAAACCATTTAGGAGAAATATGCTTGGTGATATTACTCTTGATGTATCCTGTTTGCATCTGCGCAACACAGGCCGCATTATCTTCATAGATAATGGTAGGTGATTTTATCGAACCCATTCCACATGACTGTTGTATGTGGTTTATCATTCTGCGAAGCCATACACATTCGCATGTTGCTTCAAATAATGAAATTATTTCAGAATGATTAGTAGATGTTGCCACCAGAGTCTGTTTCGAAGACTTCCATGATATAGCAGTGCCACCATGTAGGAACACGAAGCCGGTCTGAGATCTGGCATTATGGGGATCAGACAAATAGCCGGCATCTGCATACCCAATCACATCAGAGTCCTGATTTTTCTGGAACTGGAAAAATAGACCAAGATCCTTTGTGCCTTGGATATCAAAAGATATTCTTCACTCCAGACCAATGACGTTTGGTGGGAGCTGCGCTATGTCTAGCAAGTAGATTCACTGCAAATGCAATATCAGGTCTTGTGCAATTTGCAAGATACATAAGCGCTCCAACGGCACTGAGGTATGGAACTTCAGGTCCCAACACCTCTTCTCCATCATCCCTTGGTTTGAACGGATCTTTCTCCACGTCTAGAGATCGAACCACCATAGGAGTTTTGGATGGATATGATTTGTCCATATTGAATTTCTCCAATATTTTCTGGAT